AGATAGATAGATAGATAGATAGATAGATAGATAGATAGATAGATAGAGATGGGTGGATGGGTGGGTGGATGGATGGGTGGATGTGGATGGGTGGATGGATGGATTATAGATAGATAGAAGCTTTTGCAAGTTTATGTTAGTTTGTTTGTACCAACCTGAACATTTCAACAGCTAGTTTCAGATTAGAATTTAACCAGTGACACCGTGTATAAGTACATACATACATAAACACTTGCATAAATATATACATGCTTACAGGGGTGGGTACAGTTCCGCTAATAGTGGAATTAACTTTCTACTTTGTGGATTAGCATTTTTCGCCAACTTTGAAAACCTTTATTGGAATTAGCCTCCGCTAAATTTCCATCCAGTAAATTCAAGTCCAATTTTCTGCACTGAAAGTGTACAGGAGAGTGGTGAGTTACACGGAGGGATGCTATGCTATGCAGAGGTGAGCAAAGCTAAGCACTACTTGGTGACATCACCACCAATGATTTTCCCCCAACATACCAACTGCAAATATTCATGGTGTCAGTTTACAGCCAATAACAAAGACTTTCACATAAATGCCAAACCAGAACAGGAAAATAACATGAAATCCATTTTAACACTCAGAAATGTTGTAAACACTCAGAAACTTTACACACATAATTTCTACCCAACATGCTTTGTAATGCTCACACCGTCTCTGGGACGTGACTCTCTCACACATTTCACACATCATTAATACAAACAGATTTATTACCGAGAAAATATTGATGATGACACACAGCAACTTTGTAGTTAGTTTACAAAGTAGTTAACCACAAAGAGGATGGCCAAAGTGAGTTAATTCATTATAGTAAATGAAACGAGGGAGACGGTCAATACACATTGAATTAATCACTTTGCTTCAGCACAGCAGAGTTATGCTCCGCCTCTTTGGTTCCGATGGACCGGATTAATTTCTGAAAGTTCATCTCTGAACGGGACACGGACGCTTGACTTGTGATTTATGAACCGTTTTGAGTTGTTTCAAAAACACAAAGTTTGTTTTCTCAGTCATCCAGGTATATA